GATCATTAACTACTTCCTCCTGGATTATGTGGGGGTTGTTCTGCTCTCCATCCTTATCTTCCAGCTCCAGGAAGCTGAACACCTTGGGAGGAACTGGTCAGACTATTAAAGCTTTAATATAAGCTTTATTTATATATAGGGAAAGTTTTTCTGACTGAGGTTGAATATAGGTTTGTGTTGAAAGATGGATGCTTTTTCCTAGAAAAAAGTAAATGGGCAGAAATGGCTAGATTTAATCTGTTACTTCTTAAGAGCAATAGCACACTGCTATCTTCCCTCTGCTCTCTCAAATACAGGGATGGATAGTATGCAATAAATCTTTGCATCAAAACTGCATGGACTGAAATATATGAAAAAAAGATCACATCCTTAAACAGAAGACTGGTGCTGGCATTCCAGTACAAAGATTTCTACAGGTATGACAGTGAAGCCTTTGAAGTGTGGATTAGGTTTAGTGCAAAAATGAGGGAACTCCAGAACAATGGATATGAACATGTAGAAGGTCAAAGCATGGTAAACTTGGTATGGTTTGTTTTGTGTTTTTTTTCTGTTTGTTTGGTTTTGTTTGTGTGTTGTGTTTTTGTTTGTTTTTTTTTTTCTTAATTTTCCTAACAGTTCACAGGCTTGTTCATGTTGTTTATTTTTTTGTTAAATGGCTGATTTTTATCTCAAGGTGCTTTGGCTTTTATGAACTAAATGTCCTACAAACAAACATCTGATGGTGAGGGCAGCAGAGAATCAATCTATAGAGAACAGGAGATGGGGAAAGAAGCACAAGGACAGGGAATAGAAGATGATGGAAGCCTCAGCTGGAACACTTGGTGGAACATATGAAAAGGTAAAACATTTGGGGAAGGTGCGTTTGTGTAGAGAGCTATGTTACTGTTTTCTTACTAAGGAAACCAATTTCCCAATAATTTGTCAGGCTTTACCTTTTCAAGCTGAAATTCATTACTACATCAAAGTGAATGCCTTGCTGCTAACAGAATAAAGGTCTCTATTTAGAATGTCAATGAGAAAAATGCATGAATTACAGGTCATTTAAAAAAAAAATTGGAAGTGGCTGGGATTTCACCTTAGTTTTAAAATTGACTTTGACATAATTTGATAGTAAGTAATGAGCTTAGTTTCTGATTCTCCAATAATTTGAAATGTAGTAAGTCATTATTAAACGTCTGCTGCATTACACATGAAGCATAACTAGTTGCAGGATGTATGTGGTGGGCTGGTTGGCTGGCTTGTTTGCAACCTGTCTCCCTCCCTCTCTCCCCTCCTGCTGTAGTGAGGCGGTGCCCTTCCTCTCTGGCAGAGGAGTCAGCTGTGCTCAGCACTGAATTACACCAGCTTGAAGAACTTCTTTACTGTGAGGGTGACAGAGCACTGGGACAGGCTTCCCGGAGAGGTTGTGGGGCATCTGTCTCTGGAGACGTTCAAAAACCATCTGGATGAGTTCCTGTGTGATCTACTGTAGGTGATGCTGCTCTAGCAGGAAGGTTTGACTAGATGTTCTTCAGGGTCCCCTTCCAACTCTGACCACTCTGTGATTCTATGGGGATGCTCACATTTCCAGAAGAGTGCAGGAGCCCTTCAGGAGTCGGGGAGAAGCAAATGATAACTAAAAGTGTTTGTACCTCCTTTGTTTCCTCCATCTTCCCCTGCCTGGAGGAGAAATCTGTTTGAAAAAAACCTGTGTAGGGCAGTTCTTGGAAACAGACACATGGATGGGGAAGCATTTTCATCAAAAGAAAACCCAGAAAACAGTTGCACAGATGTGGTTGACACAGGAGGTCATGATCTCATTTCATATGTCACTGCTTAATCTTAGCTGAGGTAATTATATACATATGGCTGGCTAAACATGAAGTCAACAGGAAGGTATCCAGCTACATGTGGTACTACAAGTAAATGAGATTTAACTGGAACAGGCAGCAGCTGAGGATATTAGGTGAGTATCAGATGTTCCCTGAGAAAATGTATCTTTAAAAAAAGAAAAAGACAACAAATTTACATTTATTCATTCTTTATCTGTGGGCTGCTCAGTATGGATAAAATTCATGTTAGCATCTCATAATGTTCAAACAATGATCAGTATAGAATTTAGAGTTACTATTTGTGTATGTATTTCAAAACATGACTGAACGAAAAATTCTGTCCAGGAAAAAATGTAACACGGCCTAAACTATCTCTAGCGCTGAGTTGGTGCTGGCAAGTAATGGATAATATGTAGATGAGCCAGTGGGGATCATGTGTTTAACTGGTAAGCATTTAACCCTGGTTAAGGCTCTGCCCAGCAGCTAGCCCCAGTGGCACAGAAGCTGTATGTTGGTAAAGCCCTAGAAAGGAGGCTGGCCTGCAGCACCCAGAACCAGGGCAAAATATCCCCAATGCTTTGCCTTTCATTGTGTGCTCCTTGGTCCCCTCCTTTTTTAATTTTTTTTTCCTTCAGAAGGCTTCACCTGGTTACACCAAGATCATATTTTTGTGCAAGTGTTTTGATAGCAGCTCACATCCCCTGTGGTACAGCTGTTGTTCTGGTATTACTGCTTCTGGAGACTGACAGAGCTGCCTGGGAAGCCCATGGGCTATTTTTGCAGGATGCTGCTTTTGCAGTGTGCAGACAAATCTGTTGGGTTTGTTCCATGCTCAGTGGCAGTTTCCTGTACAGCCATGAACAAACACCACAAGCTGCCTTCAATTCCCAAGCTTAAAACAAGAGGGCGGCCCTCTCCCCACTCCCCCTTGCTGTGCTTTTAAACTGTTTGTGAGCAGGGTTGATTTTTTGGTTTGGTTGTTGCGGTTTTTTTCCTCTGAGTGTTAAACTCAGGTGGGGTGTACAAAATCAGATTTGAACAGGCCTCCCAAGATTTACTGCTAGGGATTTATTTATTTATTTTTAAACCAGGTCACAAGTGGAGACCTGCATAATGAAATTTTGGGTTTCCTGTGCCTGCAAGGCACACGCTTTTCTCTGAGTGCATGTTTATGCTCTCTAGGTCCTGACCTGCTACTTCACAAGAAGGCCCATCCACGCACACCAAGCTCCCTTGGGCTTCACAGGACTTTTCATCCCAGCCAGACCCTAGGGAGGTGTATATGCAAGCCTGGAGGCAGCGGCGGCACGAGGGCCAGGTAAGGGCCCTCCCTCGAGTTCATAGGTGCTCTTGAAAACTGAGATTTAAGACAAGTGAGTGAAGACATACTTCAGTTTTATTGTTGTTTAGGCATGGATAGAAACATTAATTCTCTTGTACTCTCGGTTCTTGAAACGTGCCTTTCGTGAAGTTGGAGCAGCGAAAAACCCCGCTCCTAGGATTGATGGTTTAAAGTGCATAGGAGATCTAGCAGAATCCCAAAAGGCGAGGAGTTGTTTTTATTCCTTTTTCTCGTAGCTGTAGAAGTTGAAGGACTCATTTTTTCTTCTCCTCTCCCCTGTATTCCCCAGACAGTGGTATGAAAATTTTCAGCCCTTCCCTATGCTTTCCCTTACGGTCTTTGGAGGTCTCTTCTCTCTAGTTAAGAACTATTTGTAGTGTTATAAAGAAAGACAGGTGGCTGAGAGTTTTTCTTTTCTAAAAAAAATTGTATCACTTGGCAGTGTTCTCGCACCAAAAGAAAAACGATATATTTGTATATAAAGTAATTTTTGTGTGTTCACGTTTTATTTTGGAAAAACAGGTGTTTAAAAATTTTAGAATTTTTTTAACAAAATTCTAAAGAGAAAAAAATCACAATATTTACAGAGATAACAGGATGGCTTAGCCATGCAAAACAAATTACTTTGGTTTTTTCCCCCATTTTACTTTGGTTTAAATATTGACCAGGATTATATTTGTTTTTTTCTTTTTGCCAAATAAAACAGTAACAAATCAGAGTTTAGAGGCATGTAAAAGGATTTCCCTCTAATATTTTATACAGCATAGAGTTTATAGGACATCTTATGTATTTAATCCATGCCAATGCACTACAGGAAGCTTTTATTAAGACATCAGTCACTACTGCCCAGACATTTAACATTTTACAAATTTACAAGTAACAGTGTTCTTCTCCCCCTAAATAATGCAAAAGTGGCAAAATACATTTCCTAACGTCCATCTTCTTCATTATTTATTTATTTATCTTTTATTTTATTTTCTTTTATTTTTATTTTTGCCTACCAGTCTATAAAAACTTACTTTTTCCCTGGATATTTGTAAATGCAAACCTGATGTACTGCATACTCAACTGTTCCTCTCCATCAAAGCTGCCTGTTACTTTCTTCCAGAAACTAACCTTCCTCATAAGATTAAGCTTTTCTCCCATAAGTACAACCTTCTATTGACCATTTACCCTAAAACAATTTCTTATCAGTACCATTCCAAAAATTCCCTCAAGCATAAAACATGTTTATAAAGTTACAAACTTGAATGTAACTAAAGATACATAGACATTTCATTGTTACAATTATATGTACTGTTTGATAAATTAGGTACCAGTTAAAAACACTAAAATTATCTCAAGGTGCATTCAATATCTGTAGCATAGTTAACAAAAACACACAAAAAATATATATATATTCTATATTTGTGGGGAAAAGAATGCAGCTTTGATATGACCACTTATTAAAAAGAGTTTCCAATTCTGACTGGTATCTTTTTGCAATGAAGAAAAGGTAACACTACTTTAAGGCTGCGGATAACATAAAGGAATCAAAATTAATCCAGAATTCCAGCTCCTTATCCTATTTCTAACATGAAAGACAACTGATAACGTATCGATAAAATGTGTGTCTTGCTCTAGAAGAAAAGGGTTACTACCCACCCTCTGTACATGGGCTAGGAATTTTTCATTGTGTTCCTTGCTCAATACCCAGCCTTCCCTGTGGGAACTCTTTATTGCCTTTCTGGCTCTTTTGTTTTGTGTGGTGTTTTAAACATTCACTTCTATTAACATTTTAGTTTATTCTTGTCACCTTTCCTCTTTAAAGTTATTTCAAAGAATGAAAAAGGAGCTCAACATTTTCCTTTAAGACAATCTTACACTCTAGGTGCTTGCTACACAGCAGAAGCTTCACTGATAACAATCAGAATTAGACAGGTACCTGCTTAAAGGGTGTCATAAAAACCATTGAAATCAAACCATTACACTATACATCAGATTAACAGCAACTCCCAGAACAAAGCCTTACAGTGTATAAAAATAGCTACGTAAAAAATTTACATAAAGGCAAACAAAAAGAAATCTTCAGTGCAGACATTTACAAAAAAATATTTCAAACAGAACACAGCATGGTGACCTATTATCATGGCTGTTGCCAAAATTAGTTTGTGGGTTTATTTTAACTTGAGATAATTGTGTCTAAAATCTTTTGAAAATTTGGTAGTATGATCTGTTTAATACTTGAACCATGAATAGCTGTCACTTCTTTGTATATGTTTAAATACAATCCACGTTCATGCTTCGATTGGTCTATATGTATTCTCTGAAAATATGAAAGATAAAGCCAGTTAGACATTTTAAAATTTGTTAACCAACATAGCCACTCAGTATCTAACTTTCAAATAAACAGCTGCGTGAATAGTACTTTCTTCTGCTGTTCAATGATAAGAATACTTTCATGATAAGAATACTTTCATGTTAAGAATAGCTGTTGTGGTGTTGTTCTTGGTAAATCCAGAAAGTTTATCTGGTAAGCAATGGACTTAGGAATAAGCTTTCCTTTATGTAGATCTACTGATCTGAAGAAATAAAATGAGTAAAAGACCATGCTGAAGCCACATGATGTTATTTGAACTCCTGTGTTCAATAAATACCCTCAGCTTACTTCAGCTCCGCCTCATCACCTCAATATTGCAATGTTGCAGAAGGTACCTGGTCCAGAAAAAATAATAAAATAAAACAAGCCCTAACAAAACAAAACAAAAGTCCAAAATTTCCCATAGGGTTGCAGTAGAAATGCCAGGTATTTACAAATTTATTTATTTATTAAACACCCACATTTATTTTCCACTTCTAAATAATTGCACTCACAGCACACCACCCCTGAACACTTACTGCTCTCATTTTTAAGAAGAGTTGATGTCTAACTCAAGAAACCTCAGTAAGTTTAGCTGGTTTCCACACTGTTGTGCTACTACTGTGATAATTTAAAACGGCCTTAGATGGTCAGAGAAATGATTGAAAACTACTTTCGGTACTAAGGGGAGAGAGATGCAGCAGTTGCACATACATATGCAGTAGTGGTGTATATATATGTGAACACCGGGTGGTGCTGTTGGTGCTTCGTAAGGCTCCTGTAATTCCTAACAGAACCTGCACACATCTAATTATTTGCATAGAGTTTATTGTATATAGATACCAGCTGGGGAAAGCTTCACAACTGTTGCATTGTTACTTCCTTAATATACAGTGTCTCTTTCCAGGATAAAATCCATAATAGCAGGAGTATGTGAAATCTTGAGTAAATGAATGATTTTGTTCTATGGAAAGTTATATGCCCTTTGTCATGAATAAACCTGACAAAGGAATTAGAAACACTTGCTCCCAGTAAGGGAAGAAGATTCCTGCGAATATTTTAAGCCATAACTCAAAACCTGAACTGTACCTAAACAGTCTTCATATCTGCACATATCTACAGACATGCATACACCACAGAAACTTGTATTTTCATTTCCCCAAGTATGTGGATTAAGATAAAGCCAAGTACAAAGTAACATCTGTATGTCAGGCTTCTTTAACATGTGCATACACAAGGATGAATTTGTAACTGGCCAGGGGCCTGAGTCTGTCTGTCCCAACAATACAGCACTCAAAATCACACCACTGCCTCAGCTCTGTGAAGTGAGCAACAGACTGAGTTATCACACTGACCAGGCATGAACAGAAATGATGGACAAAGAGATGTTAAACATTGCAGTATGAAACACTTACCTGGAATGATGACTGACACATTTTTTCTCTTAAGTTTCAGATTTATGATTGTTTTCTTCTAATTTTTTGTTTTCTTCTATATTTCCAAGATCTTTGTCTACATGTTTTGATGCTGTCCTATAATGACAAATTAAAGTCATGTCTATAGCATTTTGTTCCATCCTCACACTAACGACTCTGTCTCCTCCTTTCTTGGTAATACGTAAAATTCTTACAGTTCTGTTCTGAGTAGAGCAATCTGCTTTCATGTGTCTGTAAGCAGACCAATAGCACCAGTTCCCCCACCAGAGTTAGCACCTCAGGAAGTACTGCAGTAAGGCTGCGTACGTGTTTTACTTCTTGAAGAATTCAGAATCATTCTGAGCTCACATTTAAAAGTCTAGTCATAAAGTTAAACCGGTTGTGTAGACCCATGTTTCTTTACGAATGTAGCTTGTTTCATTAAATGAGTGTTTGCTTTCAGGCGTACTAAAATGTTCCAAGTGTGGCTAAGATACCTTGATCAACATAGTCATCTTTTGTGTACTTGCAGTCATTGACTTTCAGAGCCCATGTTGAACAGAAGCTCTTTAACTGCGAAGAAATTAATGAAAATTCCATCAAGACTTCAAAAAACCCACTCTGGCTTCCAGATCTGTGCTGACTATGACTGACAAGGTTTGGGTAAAGAAGAGATCGTAAAATATTCAAGGAAAAAAAAAAACAAAAACCAGGTATGCCTCATTTAAAATAGCAGGTTTTCTTTAATGCAAGGAGGGGAGATGAATTAATGAGTTAAGTGCTTAGTTTAGCTTAGCACAATAAAACTACTAAGCCATTCATTTAACATGGGAGTAGCTTCACTGTCTGCCAAGGTGAAAGATTCCTGCAGTGCTGCGATAACATTTTGAAGGCTGTAATTTTTAAAATGTAAATGGGCAAACTTGTTTGAGTGGGGAAAAGTAAATCCCTTGTGTCAAAGCAGATTATCATACCCCCATTTTCTCTATGGATAATGTTTCCCCTACAGAAAAGTAACGTCTGTTGCGACAAATTCATGCATATGCTCACCCTTCCTTCAGGGGGAAGGCCCCCAGTGACACTGACTTGCAAAATACAATGAAGACACAGGTTAGTAAGATAGTGTGACATGTCACGCTGACACCATGCAGGTATGTCCCTCCCAAAACCACAGAGCTCATGTTTTGCTAGTGGAGTGTTTCTGTGCACATCCTCCATCTGAGCGAAGGCCGCTAAGCACTGTGTGTGCCCTGGGTTGGATGAAATAGCCTGGAAGGGAACTGTTCAGAGAGTACAGTTTGGCTCTTGTCTCAGGAGACCTTCTGATGGGGTGCAAATGCATCCAACCCTCAACACCTCTGGGAGCGATGCTGAAATGCTGCTCTCTGGGCTGGGCAGCAACGTGTGGGTGGAGGGCTGGAGGTGTGAGATTCTGGGCCCAAAATCCCACCAATTACACGGAATGGGACCATTGTACAGTCTTTTTGGTTTTAAAGTAGATTATTTTCTGAGTGGCTGTAAAGTAGCATTTTTCCTTTTATGAGCGGTTTTAGAGTACCTCTGTTATGTTTGTGTGGCTGACAGGAAGGTGTATGTGCTGAAAAAACTCACTGCAAAGATCCAAACTTCTGCTTAAGGCAGGCAAATTTATTTTTTAAAGTGCTGAGATTATATCATAGAGTAACTTGTGGTAAATTTCTATGGTATAGCAACTTTCTGCTTTCTTCTGGTATTCAAAACCTGAAACTTGTGATGCGAACAGAAAGATGTAAGATGCAATGAAGGAGAAAATTCAATGCTTTGGTAGAGACAGACCTTGTGTGATCTTAACTTTTCAGAAATCCTTTTCATCTATTTAAAAAAGAAACAAACTCTGAGACAAACAAGTATCTTAATTTTTTCTTTTTTTTTTTTTTTTTTTAATGAAAAAAGTATTAGTTTTAGGTAGAACACAGGATTTGGCTTGTCATGTGCCTAATGAGTATTTTCTATAAATAAGCCTTAGAAAATTTGAGACAGACGGAAAAGAGATGCAAAGCTGAAAGAATCAGGACTCAGGCAATTACCTGAGCTGAAATGAGTAGGAGGTGAGAAAGCACTTTACATTCATACCCTCCACCCTTGTGTACCTGTTTATATCTGCTCTCAGAGCCAAGAGAGTGGGCTGGACAGACTATTGGCATGGCTTGGTGAGTTGTTTTGTTGGTTTTTTTTCTTTGGCCTCTTACCAAGAGTTTTACAGTGCCCAAAGCAGACTGAATTTCCCATGACCTGACACTTAACAGCAGAGGGAACTCTTAGTAACATTACTTTCCTTTGACTAGGTTAAAATTATTCAATGACTAAAACTGACAGGTTCTGCAATGTGGTCAGGTTTTGATTATCAAAGTGTTTTATTTTAGTTCTGCGTTCAGAGGAACTGTTCCCCTCACTAAATGTCACCTCTATTTTCCTACAGCCAAAAGGGATGAAAATGGGAGATTTAAAAGGCAGCACTCTGACTTTGAAAGAGGCAGGCAATCCAGAACTCTTTTGGAGGGCAGTATATACTGCCTGCTTGAAATGAGAGCAGCAGCAGTTTTTCACGTCTGACAATCAGATGGATTTAGATTCTGAAAGGCAGCAGTTTAATTCTGGTGGTTCAGTGGTCTTGCTGACTTTTTTTTATTTGTTTTCTTCCCAAATTACTCATATCTAGGCAGATTCACTACCTCAGCAAAAGCAATACTGCTGCCTCTTTTAGTGCTATCTAAATAGTGTTATTAAGACACAGAAGAGTAATTTTGCACTGAGTTGCAGCAGTGTGATCCACTGGCAGTGCTCTGCCAAAGCAGAGGAATAGGCGACCCTGGCATGGCACCAACCCTCAGGGCTCAACAGACGTGGCCTGAGTTTGTAACAGAGCAATGGCTCAAAACATCGTTTCCAGTCGCTTCCTAAGCTGACCTGAGGCACAGGACAAATGGCCAGCTTAACATTCAACAACAGTTCCTTACTTTTCCTGTGCACCAACTGCTGTCAGCCTGCTCCATTTGCAACTCAAGAAGGAAATCCATGCAGCTGGGCAACTCGGTCCGAATGGGCAGAAATATTCCTGAGTATTTGCCAAAAAAGGGCAAGACGTATTTGCCCAGGCCATCTCACACACTTCATTATCTACAGCTCCACAGAGCCCATGCCTTAGCATGTTCTGGCCATACTGTTCTGAGGAGTGAGAAGTTGTTTGTATGAATATGAGTTTACTTGTATATCTGAAATATTTTTTTAAAAATTCATTTGTAAAACATGGATCATTCTGAGCCCTTGCTACAATTAGGGCTCATGTTTTACATTTGTCTATGCTTGCTCTTCAGGAAAGTAATTATGCCCAGGGAATCCTAATCAAAATCTGAGTAGTACCAAAGTGAGGTTTTTAGGGTTTTTTTGAGTGTGTGTGCATGCTGAGGGGCTGTTATATATTCACGGACTTTGTTTAGACACTGTTCATAGCATTGTTTTTAATATAAAGTCAGTCTTCCATCTCAATTATTTTGCCTGCAGTAGAGTAAATATAGACTGCATATAGGTGACAAGGAAATTGTTGCTGGGTTTTAATTCTTGATTTCTTTTAACCTCACAAGTCTAGACCCCACTTTCAAGGTGGGGCCCCCCCACTATTTAAGAAAGAAAATCTGCAGTGCTTTTTTGTCTTCATTACCCAAGCTTGCAATAATGATGGGCAAGAGAATACACATTGAGTGTAGTTCTGGGTGCTGAGGAAAGTGTCACAAGTTTCATCAAAGCCAGTTTTACTTTTGAAAAGCTTGTGAGATGATCAGCTACACTGTTGCAAAATATTTTCTGCAATTTATCTACAACCTCTTTTTATTTACCCCAATCTTGCCTTCCACTTCCTCCAATTATTTTCACATGTCCATCAGTAGGAAGAAAAGCCAGAGATAAAAGAAAAACATTCCAATCATCAAGAAACTAGTGACCACTTTCAAATTTGTGCCATTTTTTGAAAATTTTGTGACAGGAAGTGACACTTCCAGAGATGTTTGTAACTTTGTATTTTCTTTGGAAGGGAATTACATGAAAATTAATACACAAGAGTATTGTTCAGAATATACCACAAGTTTCCTACATATTTAGCTTGCTAGGTTTGGATTAATATGCTGGTTTCCTGTAAAGTATCAGAAAAGCAGAACTGTTATTCTTCAAGTGTTCAGTTTCAGAGACACTAGTAACATTCTTGATTACCCTGATCTAAGAAGAATTGCAAGCGTTTGGTGTGCCCTGAGGATGAACAATCTTAATACTGCTGCTGTGCTTCAGTTTGTCCACCTGAATTTTCCCTCAGTCCATTTTAAACCACTTTATCCTTGTGATCTAGCCTCATGTGACTTGAGATTTGTGCACCTCCAAACCTAAGGAGCAAAAATTGGAAAAAGGTCCAATCCACACACATGATTTTCTTTCTAAGCCTTTAATTTGTGCTGTACTCTCAGCTGATTCTGGCAAGGTGAAAACTTCATATATGAAGGGTTTTGAGGTCTGACAAAAAAAAAATTGAGAGAGATTCCGAAGTGCTAGATTGTATTATGTTCAGTGCAAATTACCTTAAAATACCCTTTTTGGAAAAAGGAGAAATCTGTAGATAACAAGTCTTTGGCCTTCTGCTCAGATGAAGGAGAAACTGCATGCTGTGCTGGGTAGCCTCAACTCTTTATTCAAGAGGGGGCTGGTTGCAGGATGTAGAATACAGATGAGTCCCTGAGTTACTGGATAACATTAATAGTGAAAAGAATATATGGCAATACTCAGCTTTTGCTTCAAGTGGAACTGAGGCAGTGAATCTATTCATGTATTGTGAATATATTGCAAGGCTACAAGTATAACTCCTACTTAACGTGGATGACAAGACAATAGAAGATTATACAAACCACAACAACAATAATGAAAAAAAGTAATGTTTTTCTTGCCTCGGCAGACTTGGAAAGTTCTGTGCTGCTGCCTTCAAAGACTTTCCTTTGGCGTCACTTTGGGGATAGAGATTATGTGAGTTACTGATCAAGGGCGGGTTCAAAAATTAACTACTAACTCTTGGCCTGTATGGAGATGGAGGGGCTGTGATTAGACACGGGTTGTGTCTGAAGGTGTAAGGTACTCTTTGAAAGGTCTACTTTGATTTCTAGGCTACAATTTAGGATGAAAACTTTGTCGGAATAGGTACTGACACTCTGCTCTTGCAAGTCCCGCGTGCAGAAAGCAGGGAGGATAACAACAGAGCAACTTAAATATATGCTGAAGAGATTGTCAGTGATGATGCACCAATTAAGGCTTTCAGAGGCCAGCAACCATGCATTGAATATGAAGACTATTATTTAACTGTAAAGGGATTTTCATTTTGTTCCCAGTGAACCTGTCTAACCAATTACATCTCTAATTTTTACTCTAAGCTTGTAGAAGAGAAATTCAGCATGATGAAAGGAAGTGTCATCCATTTAGAACGCACTGTATCCTATCTTTGAAGCTGGAAAAATTATCTTAAGTCATAAACTCATCTCATCCAATGAAATGCTATATTCTAAGACTTCTGTTAGCACTCCTAACACTGCATAATGGCACAAGAACTCTACCTTCTCTGCCCTCCTTACACCCAAACCCAAATAACAGTTTCATGATTCCACATTCTCATATTCAAAAGGAAAGACAAAAGAAAATTATTCTGGACACTCTCACACAAGTACCAAAGTGTGGGAGGAGGAGCTCAGCATTATTACTACTTTTTAATTTCTACCAAAAGAAATATAAGTTTTGCAAAAAACAACATTTTTTGCCCATCTGATATCTGAATGTCGTTCTGTGCTTGGGTAATTTATAGCCATTCTTTATTTGAAAAACCTGCAAAACCTGCTTAGTTATGGCTGGAGAAAAATCCTTATGTATTATCCAAAAAAGTATTTTCAAGCAGATCGAAAATCCCTTGTTGTACTTTCACATCCATTAAAATACATTTGTTCATAGTAAAATCCCACTGGTGTATTTCAGATCTCATTTGATCTAATTTTAATGAAAGGTCAGAAAAAGAACAACCACAGTTTAAGACTGCTTCTGTATGAGTACTGATATGTGCATGTTATGCCTAACTACCTTAATCTTCTCTTAAGAAGCAGCTATAAGGAACCCTTCAGAACAAATCTGCCCTTGGTTCTCCCTGGAGACAAATGTATGGGGGTAAGGCCAAACGACACACAGTCATTGCCATCTTTAAAAGGATGGAAAAACACTTTTACTTTCTGAGATAATCCGGTTTATTTTCTAAAGTGAGCCTGGGTGATAATAAAAAGGAACTTGAAAGTAAGCAGCCCTCACTGGCTAATCCTGTTCTATGTGTAGGATGTCCAAAACATATTGATTTGGATTGATAGCTTCTAAATCTTCAGTAACAGAAGGTCTATCTTTTACCAATTTTAGTTCAGAGAACTGAAAGTGTGTGTGTGTGTGTGTGTATGTACAAATGAATTAAGGATCTCTCTTCTCCCTGTCATAGTTTAGGCTTATTCTGTAATTTATTCCATTTTCTAGTACCAGTAAAGTCACACCAAGGGAACACCTTACAGTTAAGTAGCAGGTACTGTATTTAAATGCAAGAATCAGCCCTGACTTGGCTGTCAGTAAAGAGAACCTCACTACAGGTGATGAGCCATGAAAAGTCTTGGTGCCCCACCTCCAGATGAATCCCATCAGAAGTACCAAATTTCTCTATTTAATGCACCTACTACAACAACCTTTCCCCACTCAGACTACTGGAAAGCTGCAGGAAGGAAAACAGGTAAACATTCATTTCTAGTTTGTTTGGTTTTTTTCCAATTTAGCAGCAAGTTTTCCATAAATTCTTACTTTGATTTCTTCACATAGAGCCAGTAGACAACACCTGCAACCAGAGCAGCCAGGAGAAGACCGACTACAATCCCCACTATTAGCTTTGCCTGGTCATTAACCTTTTCACTATTGTCATCTGAAGCAAAGAAGAAAAGTTAATGAGGTGACCTATGATAAAGCAAAGCATAACACCATTTCCAAAGAATTTTTATCAAAAACAAGAAACGAGGTCAGAAAATTAAAATAAAAAGAATATTGTTATGAGATGTACATTTAAAGCTTAAAAAAAGTCACATTCTTGGTCAATCATGGTTCCAAATATTTCTAATTGAGTCCAACTCTAAGGGACTGTGGAATTTGTTCAGTGACACTACATAGGTCTTGAACTGAGACAACAGAAAGGGCAATGGAGACAGAAAACCATACATACCATTTCTATCCTCTGGCTCATCATATTCTGGAATACTTACTGAAATGAAAAACATTTAAATTAAATTAAAGACAAAATGTGTTATACTTGAACAGCACCTTTAATTGCCTATTTAGAGCAATGACAGAAACACCGAAATTTAATGCAGTGTTTGCTAAACAACAAAGTAATTTATCTTGTCTTTAAGCAGAAGTCTTTCCTGCATAACTATAATATATCCAAATGAAGAATCCTATTCAAAACCTGTAATAATAATCTCAGAAATAGTTCTGCCTGAGCACTTGTGCTACTCTTCCACAGACTGTATCTTCTCACCACCTTTCAGCATGGAGAAGTGACATTTAATTTAAGCCCAGTATGGCAGATTTCTCTTCTGAATCCAGTCATACTAGTAATAATGTACTGGATTTTGGAGACTAAAAGATTGTTAATTAAGTAATAAAGACTTCCACCTTCAAAAAGAATGTATTATTTTGCAATATATTTGTACTGTTATGTTGCATATTATTTACAGAAGTAAATAATAGATTGCATACATGAAATAGGTAATCAAGAAAGTAATGAAGACTAATTGACTTAATCCAGAAAGCTATCAATACAGTTTACGTACTACTTATGCAGAGTGGATTTACAATTGCTTGACTTTAGATTAAAAGGTTAAATATCTTAGTATCAACACTACTATGCAGATCTACTCTTCAGATGAGTGTGATGTGTGGGTTAGTTTGTGTGAAACTACGACTTAAAGGAAATGGTCTTTAGCAGACACACTCACTAGCAGAGACATTCAGGGAGGTCACAGTCCTTTCTAGCTCATTTTCTGCAATGCAAGTTAAAGTCACATTTTCCTCAGGAGCAATTACAATTTTACTGGAAAATCTTCCATTAACATATTTGGTCTCCTCTGTCTGAAAAGATATAAAATGAAGATTAGTATCCTCCAAAACTGTGAAGACCAATACATTACCTGCTTTATACACTTAAAGTATTCAAAGGGAAATAACATTCAACTAATATTTCAGTTTTCCAAATGATAACAATAGAAATTAACACATTATTATTTTGCTCTACACCGTTTTTGGACTAATACAATATCCAGAGAAATTTGTTATCTATCACACAGCTTCAAGACGATTTCAGGCCTATAGCTTTGAGTAAATGGTCTAATTTTGACAGTCACACATAATTTCTGTAGGATTAAAGCAAAACCTAATGGAGTAATGAAATCTATGGGAGCACCGTGCATACTATTTCCAGTCTCTGACTGCTTATATAGATGTCTCAATTATTTTTCCTGCCAAGGCAAAACATGGCAGAGCTTTGAATATGATCTAGTAATCAATATGAAAATACATCAGTTTGCTTATTTTCCAGGTAATTTTCCTGCTGCATATGCGTACTCCCCATCACTCCCCCTGGATTATGACATTATGGTTCTGTTTCCAATTAGCAACAACAGGTATAACTGTACAAAAACAATTATAAAAATTAGGATAAAACCTGCAAAGCCCATAAGAAACTATACTGACCATATCTACTGACTTGCAGTTACCATATTTCATTACATTTCATCGAGTTAATGCCTACATCAAGCACCCATTTGCTTTCAAACATAGGTTCTACAGTTACATCATTATTTGTAAATTCTTTATGCAATGGCAAAATCACCACATTACTCAGATAAAATGACTAAATACCCTCACTTAAAGATGCGAATTTCATTTGTAACCTTTTTCTTTTCTTTCCAGCTTTGGCTTGTAGCCAGTGAATCATCTTTGCCTTCACCTTCTCTATTCAGAAGACCTTTATACTCAGAAATCATCTGTGTAGGAACCACGTGGCAACAGCTACCACTTAACCTTCTCTTAGATAAATGAAAAGGACTTAATTTCTCTATTCTCACTACCTGGAAAATGTTCCTTGATTTTAAATCACCTTTTGGTAAATAATCTTTTGGTGAATAAAGTAATAAGAAAGATACTTGCTTTATTTATGATGCTTCCACTACCAGTAACTGTCCATTGCACTGCTGGTTTGGGGAAACCTTCCACATGGCAGACAATTGTTTTAGACATTTTATTTGTGTTGGTTTTCTTTGTCATTTTGATTTGAGGTTTTCCTACAATGACAATATTACAATTAACCATTTTGTTTGAAAAGGTCATTTAATAGTAGTAACTATCTGCTCCCTTACCTTCCACAATAAGTTTAAGTGTCTTTCTTTTCTTTAACCCTTCAACCTCTTGTAGAGTAGTTTCACAGATGTAGTTTCCTGCATCTTGATACTGAAGACTTGAAAATGATGGACTCGTTTGCATTCTCGTATTGTCCTGATAAAGTAAGGAGTTATAGTCTGTGATTCTAACTCAAAATACAATAACCTCTAAATTACAGAATTGACTACCACCAAGAGAATTCTTCACATGCTTTGGTAGACTACAGCCTTACTCTTAAGTATTCCCCCAACAACCACATTTGTGTAGCTGACAGCAACACAACATGAAAAATGGAAACTACTGAAGGTTTACAAAAGCCACCTCCCTTCTTCTTTAACAACCTTGCTTACAAATAAAGAGCAGAGATGGGATTAATTATTAGCTCTGAGCTCTTCTCATAGGCTGGCCAAAACCAACTGCAGTAAAAGTTGTTTGAGAAATAGACAACTCTCCTCTAGGAACCAGGTTTATGAGATCAACATTTGCTACTAAACAACCATCAGGTATTACTTTTAGTTTCCAGCAGTACAGGTTTAATTGAAACACATCATGTATGACAGCAACCTTTTTCACCAGTCACTTAACACCAGTTGCTAACACCTGATGTCTCAACCTACCTTGCCCTTTTATTGGAACCGAGACTAAGCTTGCCTCTGAGAAAATGGCTAATAAAGCCAAGTTCCTCCAAACAGACCTTCCTTCTTCGAGGAACCTTATTCTCAAAGGGCCTTGAATAGACCATTTCAAAATAGTTGTCTTTGTGCTACAGCAAGCATTACTTCTCTCCATATGAAAACTGAGCTGATAATTACAGTAACTGATTTTCAGTCATCAACTTGAGTCAGTAGCTCTCATTTTAGCAATGTGTGTAAGACCCATTTTAACTACATTCTTTGAAAAGCCCAATGAACAACTTCCTTCCTTCCAAAATGCTGAAGTAGCAGCAGTAATATGAAGAGGTGAACAGTCAGATGAAGTGTGAAGCAGATGAATTACTGACCTTTATCCAAAACACAGTTGCATTTCTACTAGAAGAAATCGTGCATGACACAGGAAGGGCCTCTCCAATCTGTTTTGTGACTTCACCGCTAGGAATAAGCTGCAAATCCAAATCTGGGACAGAAAGAACATTTGTCAGAAGTTGATCTCTGAAAGCCTGGCCCATTTCAAAGGCTTACTAAGGGAAGAAAATGTGACTAATTGCACTAATTAAATTCAAAATTTCATTTCTTCAATAAAAGGCAAGTCAATTTTACAAGTAAGGGAGAATACAGTATTGTTCTGAAATAGGCACTGCAGAACATTCACATTTTTGCTGTAATTATAGGCTAACAGGAAAAGCAAAAACTCACTAATCACTAGACAAATGGATACTTTTTTTCACCTTACACTGCTGAAAGAATGACAGAGAAGGTACAAAAAGCTGAAGAAGAATGGATGCATATAGGAGGTATGTGCATCTTGAAAGGGGAGGCACAGACTGATTGTGCAGGAGCTCCATCTCTCAATATGCCTCAGTTTTACTCTATTATTCAACTGCTTTTGTCTCTGTTTTGCAGGCCAGGACTGGAGTGGAAAGGAAGGGCCTAGCAAACTCTGAGCTGGTAACAACCTTGATCTGTGCATATATAGGTCATCTTCCATCCTGTCTGCAACACTGCTATGAGCTTGCTATGGGCCAGGCAGAAATGTATCTTCAGGGGAGGACTTGTGCAGGTGAGGACAGATTAGCCTAAACAGAAGATGTAGAAAAGAAGATAGAAGGACAAGGGGTAATTTTCTCAAATCTGTTAAAATAAGTTGATATTTATCCTCATCAGCTGGTGAGGATGAGGATGGTCGATACAGGATGCGTGAGACATGATGCTGACTGAAGGGATGAGGCTGGGGGTCCACGCATGAGGAGGCCCTTTGATTTATTTGTTTGTGTTTGTAACATGAAAAGCCATTTTTGTGTAACTGAGAGTCCAAGCTTTGCCTGATCTGTTTCAGCTCCAGGGAAACAGCAGTCAGTGACAGCTGTGTTTGACACAAGGCAGGGTGAGAGCATAACAGGGTGACAGTATCAGAAAGGTCAGGAAATGCTGGGCTAGATTTTTCTTTGTATATGGATTTGGTGGGCTAGCAATTTCTTTTTTTAAGAAAAAGAAATCCTACCCTGAAAGATAAGCAGAGTTTTGCTTGCCCTCTCACAGTGCCTTGCCTGTAAGCCAAGTTTTCTGGTTGAATGACTATCACAGATGCTCACACACACACACACAGATTCAAATGGTGAGCACATATGATTTCATCAGGAATACAGTAGTTGCTGGAAAAGGACTACAAAACATCCTTTTAGTTTTTAAACTGAATTTACAAAAAGCTTGCAGCAAAATCACAGTTGGCAGAGGAAAAGTGAAACAGTGAATTTTCCTTAACAAAACAGTGAACTTAGCTATTGGCTTCATTCAGTGGTTGCCCTGGGAACACCATTATAATTAAAGGCAGAACTTCAGGGAACAACTCAGGTCCATCCTGTACTACTAGTCTGCATTATTATCTGTGTTACAAGTCCAAGGGGTCACAAGAACTGTACTTTCATCTATGCATGAGTAAAGTAGAAAATTCATCAAAGAGATAAAATGGCATTTTGTTTCTGTATTCTTATGGGCATTTCTCCCCCTACCTCCCCAGACTAGTAAATGCAAGCAAACTAGCAAGATTCTCCAGATCTTACCATTGTTTTCATAAGGGGAAAGAAAAAACAAACCTCAGCCAGTGATCTTTTTAGTATATAGATTCAGATGGTGCATGTGATGTATTTCTTCTTGCTTCCTACTCTTGAGCACAAACTACCACTGCAGAGGGGTGGCGGAAGAAAAAGCTAACAATGTATTCATTTTTCCTGCCTCTCCTTCAACATCTATTCAAACCTCTTGTTCTTTGAAGCGAGATAGCACCTCAAGCCCTAAAGACCACTGAAGACTACACAGGAAGAATTCCTCTTACATATACCACAGGAAGTAGAAATTTATTAAAATGTTGACCTTCATCTCAGGCAAGACTGACACTGAGCCCAGAGCAATACTACAACCCTATCTTCCTTCAGGGTAACATGCCTGCACCCCTCCACTCCATCCCTTTTTGAGATATAACTGAGACTACAATCCCTCTCACACAGTGGTCTCAGTTGCTATAGAAGTTAAGGAAAATATCCAGTGTGCAAGATGAACTGCATAGCTCAGAGCAGTATTTGTAAGATGATTTATGAGAGAAGTATAGAATTAAGCTACTTTTTAGCACAGCATTCCCTCTAGGAACGCTCCGTTGAGCAATTTGATTTGGATTAATATTCTGCCAGTTTATCTGTAGGGTCCACAAAGAAATGTGACATAGGCAATTTTACCTCTCAACTTACATGCTCCGTTAGTAAATAATCTCTTCTTGCTACAGAACTATGAGGAAAAAATATTTCTTGCATACAAAAGACTGTCAAAGTTAATTTTCCTCACCATTGAAAGAAAAACTTTGTTGCAAGAATTTTCCATACATTTCCTGTTTGATTTTGAAATGTTCTTCATAAACAAATTTCTCATCAGGCACAATTTTCAATATATGCTAGCTCTTAATGTGATCTCACTGCAAGTCTTGCATTGATTTCACTGCTGTCTGTGCATACCAACTAGCACAGGGAGGAGGCAAAGAGTGCATTCCACATGTATTACTACATCATGTGAGACAACTATGGAATTAATGTGGCAAAGAGTGGACCAAACATTTCTGGTTTGAAACTCTATTTCACATATAGGACAGGCTTGCAGCATTTACAGAAGGCCTCTGATGAAATACTGGAAAAAAAATGGCTGGAAAAAAACACAGGCTGGAAGTTGCCTGTGGTCTGAACTCCCCAAATATACCAGCAGACAACCAGAAACCTCCCCTAGTATACTCAGAATAGAAGATTTTTTTCCATGCAACATCCTAAAGGTTATTTCCCCTTTATTACCAATGTGTTTATAAGCACAAGAAAAGACTATAAAAAATAGCTGTTAAGAAACACAAATGGTAAATCTCCAAAATCTTTGAATTTACTGCAAGGTTTAGAAATCTTTTTCCCTGGAAAACACATTTTCGTAGAAATGAAATCACCACTAAGAGGAAGTCCCAGAGCCCTACTCCATACTGGGTTGTATGTGCAGAAACAATACTAGTAAGAGATAAAGGAACTGTGGTGGAAAGTCACCTGCTTCTTCACAGCTAAGGGAAGGTACACATGTCCTCTACTGCTCGGTGCTTCCCTTACCTTGCACAGATGTGCTTCTATAGCAGTTTAAGTGGTTGTAAACAGGTTCTGCCACAGCCCCCCTGCTTTTCCTTCCTGGCCTCTGTCACTTTTGCTCATCTGATCCTGGGCAAACTCATTCAAGGCACATAGGTGGCAGAAAATTAATATCCTTGTGTAAAAAAATCAAAACAAACTCACAACATAAACTGTGTTCTGCTGCTCCCTCTGTTGAGCAACAAAAGATACCAACCATAAGTACTCAGTTCTGCTGGACTTCAAAGTGGGACCTTGCTGCACAGATGCTGCAACTGCTCCAAGGGATAAGAACCTCCACTTTGCCCCTATCTTTTGTGGGTAAGGAGAGACTCTTCCCTCCTCTCTAAATTTATATTTATAAAGTATTTCCCTAAACATTATGGCCAACTCAGATGCTTTAATGTCTGTTTTCAGCTTTCAACGAATTTACATTAATCTTGGAAAAAACAGAAGTTGGTATTGAGCCAGAATATTTTGCTCCAAAAATATTTAATGGCTATAATGTGCTAATGTATTTACATACCACCAAGAAGCTTTCCCTATCACTTTTGCTCATCTGATCCTGGGCAAACTCATTCAAGGCACATAGGTGGCAGAAAATTAATATCCTTGTGTAAAAAAATCAAAACAAACTCACAACATAAACTGTGTTCTGCTGCTCCCTCTGTTGAGCAACAAAAGATACCAACCATAAGTACTCAGTTCTGCTGGACTTCAAAGTGGGACCTTGCTGCACAGATGCTGCAACTGCTCCAAGGGATAAGAACCTCCACTTTGCCCCTATCTTTTGTGGGTAAGGAGAGACTCTTCCCTCCTCTCTAAATTTATATTTATAAAGTATTTCCCTAAACATTATGGCCAACTCAGATGCTTTAATGTCTGTTTTCAGCTTTCAACGAATTTACATTAATCTTGGAAAAAACAGAAGTTGGTATTGAGCCAGAATATTTTGCTCCAAAAATATTTAATGGCTATAATGTGCTAATGTATTTACATACCACCAAGAAGCTTTTCCTACTTAGACACTGAAAGGAACCAATATAATTACAATGCTCAAAAAGATCTGTATGGGAAAAAAGCACTATAACTGAAATGCAACAAATTACTACAAAAAGATTCACAGTTTTACACTAACATTATTATATTGTCTGGTTGTTTGTTTTGTGTGGTGTTTTTTTAAAGTGAAAATTTAAAAAAAAATCTAAAGCATCAAGATCAGATGTGAGGAAACAAAAAGCCCTGATTCAGGATGAAGGTGTTTTCAGTGTAACAGCATAGACAGGAATATTCATCCATATGTGAAAAGGTAAGCAATAAAGCAAAAGAGGGAGAAAGAGCAGGATGTGATAGACATTAAATAGTATTTGAAGGACAAAAAACATCACAAACAATCTGAAGATCTAACATAAAAAATACATGGAAGTACAGTGAAAGGAAAAAGCACTAGAAATTTGTGATTTATGATGGAAAATTAATATAAAGTAAGCAATTGAAAGATGAAGGGGTATATGAAGAAGCATCTATGGGTTTTATGACTTTTCCAGAGAAGTTCCCCTCACACAAAAACATGCTGCAGAAATGCTTTAGACCAGCAGTAAGGCAAGACATCAAAATCACTTAAAGGCAGGGCACAGCCTGGACATTCAGGAATTACAGAACTATTCCAGGCCACTGTGCGTCACTTAAGCAGGAGCTTTATTGCAGAGAGATACTTTTTTAAGAAAAACAAAACAAAATGAATGCTAAGTGAAGTGAGGCAGCTGGGTACAAGATTGTGCTTATGAGTTCTGAGTAGCTACACTAGCTGCCAGTACTGGAAAGATTTCTGTCAAGAAAATACATGGTTCTCTTGTGTAGAAAAACTCTTCTGACACGCAGACAAAATAGCTGAGAAAGGAAAATTGGCTTGTTATAAATAACTTGCAGCTGCGGAAGTCATTCTTTTGAGTAACTATTTATAGAAGTACAAGTAGACAATGCAATCCGCTTGGAGTAAAATAAAAGGGTCAGTTATACCACAGCAAACTACTAGCAAGCTAACTTTGATATTGAGCAGCTAGTGGCAGAAGTACAGAGCTCTCTTACATATCCTGACTCTTGGCAAAGAGAAGAGATAGGTAGGAAGCCAGCAGATGACCTTATTAAAAGCAAGATATTCATTAAACGGAATAGTGTAATTATTCAGATACAGATATTTTCTGCATGCATTGCACCTCTTTCAAGGAAAACAAATAACCAAAGAACAACACAAAAACCAAGTACACAAACAAAAACTTTCTTTTTATGTAAAATATGACTGCTGTGGAAGCCTTTAAACTTCTTTATTCATCATGTCTCTCTCAACCTGTAAAGGTACTTATGCTGCTGGGAAGCCTACAGACCATCAGTGTTTCCCCAGGAAACACAGTACCATTGGCGTGAGGCTCATTTCACAGACTGTGACAGTAGAGCAAAGTTGGAAAGGGTTCCTGCTCTTGTTTTCTCACCTGAGCAGATTAAAAGCAACCATTGAAAAGCTTTTAAAGCAATGTTGATAAAGCGAGAGTAAATACTCTAGTATCCAGCTAAAGAAACTTTACTGAGCTCTGCAGCTCTCATGATTCTGGAAAAGTGAAAACAACAACTTGTCCTGTGTGAACATAATTAACTCCTTCTAGACTCCTTACATGTTAACCTCACTGAGATAAGATGAAAGGATATCAGATGACTGTGAAGCACAGTCTTCAGTGATACCACTGTGGGCCAGCTGGTGTGTTTGAGTACACTCTGAGGCACAGCTGGAGCAGCAGAATTTTCACTGTGTGTGACAGTGCAGGAGCATCACATAGTATACAAAGGTTACAAGAAGTGAATCTGTATCTAAGTCAACAAACTGAGAAAGTTAAAGTTTTCAAACAAATCCTTTGGAAAAAAAATAATACTAAAAATTAAAACCAAAAAGTCCTGACTACTTTAAAGCAAGCACCTCATCCAGTTCTCCTGTAGGCTTCCTGGACTAATCTATCTAGGTAAAGCAGAGACCATCCCAGAAGGTGCAAGATAGGTTTGTATCCCCACTTGGAGTGCAAAATGCAGTGACTTACAGTGCACCGTGATGGTGATTGAGTCCATCATGCTTTTGTCAGTCAGAGAGCACTTGTATTCTCCTGTTGCATTTCTTCTCACATCTGTCATTACGTAAGTATCTGAGCTTCTTATACCCTCTGTCTCTCCCTGTGGATGGAAAGCAAAAAAATGTATTGCGTATGGGTCTGCTAAAAGCGTTATTTTTTGCTTTTTGTTTTGTTGGGGTTTTTTTATTATAAGGATGGTGATATGCTCCAAAATATACATAGGCACAGCATCACTGCAGTGTATTTACCTGTTAATAAAGTTTCTTTCTTGCATTACACCACAGTTTTAAAAAACACCCACAACCGAAAGCTTACACTTTTAATTGAATTACTTACTTAAGAAGACATTAAAAATACAACATTTCAAAGTTCAGCAGAAAGAGAAAAGGGAGAAAACAAAATACTGAAACAGTCTCCCTGTAAGAGTGTTGCAGAAATCACAACAGCAAAACAAAGTGTTTCTAAATCTGTATCTGAAATGATACATTCAGTTTGGGAAAAATAATGAAATGAGGCATACTGCATTACACATTGTTGAAAAGTACAAGCAAACCTTGCTTGATCCATGTTATGGTGTGGAGTCTGTATACCCATATACTACCTTACATGCAGTTGCTTGCAGAAACTGGTGTTTTAAATTAGCTAACAAGCACTGCTCTTTGGCTGACTAGTTCCCCAGTTTTCACCTTATTACAACTGACTGACTTAGCTTTGAAAGAAGTAGAATAAAACCCTAATTCATGTCTCCGAATCCAGAAAGATTTGATACCTGTGAGTCTTGTAAAGAAATCACCAATTTCAGCTCTCCTTAAGAGAAAGGACTAGTATCAGGCAGCAGGGAGTCGGAAGATAAGACAAACTGGGGTGTTCGGCTTGCACACTGTGATCATGAGCAAGGACAGATATCATACACTTTTTCCCTTGCATGGAGTGAGTTCCTAGGATGACTCACTGAATCTAAATGGCTGTTCTGAGATATGTGGACTTCAGCTCCTGGGTTCAGCAATTCAAAATGCCAGGAGTCCAAAGTACGTGAGGATAATGTTCAAAGGTTGAAATGCAGTTTTTGAAATACCTGAAAGCATTCCACTGCTTTTGGCCTCTATCAAGATCAGTGCTGCTCACTACTGCAGCAGGACCAAAAAAAGGCACATAAAATAGGAGAGAGAAGCAGGACAGGGGAAGCAAGACTAGGAATGTTAGAAAATAAAGCCACATCTGTCTGGATTTCACCAATACTAATGGTACCAAAGCCTTCATTTTTTTCAATCTGCATCTTAAGCACTTGACAATTTGTTCTACACTTTCTCCTGTGCTGTCACACTCATTCCTTTTTGGGTTGTTATGCCACCAAATAATTAATTAATTAACTAAAGAAAATAAATTGTGCAAAGATTCATCTGTTAAAGTCCAAAAAATAGCTGAATTAATTTCCTGTACTTTCACTGCTGGATCTTTGTCTGTTACGACAACAGATGAGATGATTTCTTTGAAGGTACAAACCCCTTTTGTCAAAATTGCTTCTTATCAAAATATCTGATTAAGGGAAATGAAGGCTAGCAATTTTTAGTATGTCCAAACTGCCCAAGAAATCGGGTGGGGTGGAGGGAAGGAGAGGTTTTTTTCAAAATATTATGCAAACTCTGGTAAGGTGTTCTCAAGAGTCTGATGTAATTGTTGATGTTCATCTTCAATTTTAGTCACATCAAATTCTTTCTTTCATTTGTTATAAAATCATGTATACACTAACACGTAGCAATGCCTGTAGGAAGGGATGATACAGAATATTTCACTATGCAGTGGCACCAAGGCAGGACTTACTGGAATGTAAAACAGGAACTCCTGTGGAGGAGGGTTGCCATTTCCTGAGCACTTCAATGTGATGTTATCACCTTCTTTAATAGTACTTTGTGACAGCACTTGAATAGTCACCTTCTCTGTTGGATCTGTGAAAATAATGTACACATTTAATGACTTCTGCAAAAAACCACACAGTAACACTATCCATACCATATTGACAAACCATCAGATATTCACATGTTTAGATCTTTTTATAAAAGATCTGAAGTTAATCACACTTTCTATATTTTTGCCAATGATGTAAAGGCAAAGAAGCCATACTATATAAAACTCATTTTACTTCACCAAAATACCTGTAACTGAAAGAGCAATGACTACAACCATGCCATGAGCTTAAAAGAAAAAAAAACAAAACACCCTGATCAGTATGAACAGTTTCATGGTGTGATTTCATTACGAGGGATTAACTTGTCCTCTGTGAAGCTCTGTTTGGAGGACTGCAGCAATGAGAAAAACAACTGCAGCTCTCGGTGCCTTGTATTAGTACTAGATAATAGCCTTCTTGCATTAAAAAGAAAGAAATATGAACTAAGAAACTGTTCAGCCTATTCTATATGCTGATCACTACAGGCTTTCAGAAAGATAAATTTGATGAACATAATAGGACCCTTAACATAGTCAACAGAACTGTAAAAGTAACATGTTTCTGTCATGTTCAGTGAAGTTGAACTATAACTTTGATTTTACTTTGGTAATTTTTTAAAGGCAAAGACAAGAGTATACTTTAATACATGCTGCTCTTTCTAAGTGGAAGACTAAATATAATTTTTCAGAAATGAAGTAAAATGAACAAACTTAAAAGAAATAATATAGGCAGATAACTCTCACTGTTTAAATTTCAATGAATAAATAAAATTTTACCAAAGATGCCAGTCTTGCATTAAGACACAGTACAGTGCACTTTATATTAGACACTATAAAGAAAATATCTACACAGCAGAGAACCGCTTGCCTGACAGTTGATTTTGGGTTGTTTAGTGAAGCGTGTGCTCTACAGCCCTTCTGACCCTTCAGGCATTCATCATCTCTGCTGCTATGGGACTTCTCAATAACAGGAGCCACATATTGCTGTGGCCTCTCGATGACTGATATCCCTAACACAGCCTCTCACTCCTGATTGTAGGAGGAGGGGAACTGGGCTTCAACAAGCTACAGCCCTCTCTCCTTCAGATGCAATAGCCTCAGCTCCCCTCCACATCCAAACAGCTTCCATCTCTGTACTCTGTTGCTACTGTGGAATACAACAGATGCTCTCTCTATTTCTTTATAAGTGGCGAAGTTGCAAGAAATCCCACTAGATATCAGAATGGACAACAGGTCTCCTTTATTTATTTTTTTTCTACTTGCTTCAGAGATGCATAACATGACAGTTTTGATAGTTAATATGAAAAAAAATTAGACTGAAAGACTTTAATTTTTGAGCTTTGGAGTCTGGTATTTTTTTTCATCTGCCTTACATTTGACTCATTAAAAAATCCCATGTATTGAGAAAGAAACTAATTAGGATTCCTGAACTAAATTAGAAAAGAAAACCAAATCAGACATGACATTATCATCAACTAACATCAGTGAAGAAATCCATCTGTTGAAGCTTCAGACATCTATTAATAGCAAGCTTCAGAAATTCATTTGGACATGCATCTGAGCAGAGTAAGCAACTGAAGTTACAGTAAATGAAAATACTCAGAAAGCAAACTGGATAACTCCATCCTCCTAAAGCCTAAGTTCATACTTGAGGTCTCTTCAGTACTGAAGGGTGTGCCTGCCTCCCACTGTTGGCTAATTAGCAGAATCTCCTATCTCTGGAGGAAGAACTATCTTAATTAAACTGTGTGTTACTAGACACTAAACAAGCTAGTTTAGCAAATATTAAATCTTTAATATGAGTGTCTGTGCTTTCTGGCACAGTGGCTATTCCACAGTGCTGTGCAGGTTTCTTTTTTCTTCATGCTGGGTAGTGGTTAATGGCAAGTGCATATAGCACATGCATCACAGAAATCTGCAAGAGCTTCACTTCAACAGGTGAAGTAGCCTAATGCATGAAAGTGGCTGGGAAATGATGACAGCAAAGTACCTCTTGGCAAGTAACAGCAACAAGTGCTTTCTGGTCATTAGACTTCTTCCTGGTGCACATCTGCCATACACAGCAGGAGTTATTCACAGCCATGGGGCTCCACAGATGATAGAAAGAAAAGCCCAGTGAAATCAGGTACCCAACTTTAAAACTAAAACAAAAACTAAAAAAACCCTCTAGCTTTTTAAGTGACAGACTAGGTGTCTGCGGGCTTGAAACCTCTATATTATTTCCAAGGATGACAGTTCACTGTCCAAGAGATTTTCTTCTCCATTAGTTCTGCTGGCTGTCATGCTTGGAGAAACAGCTGGTGAAAAGAAGGCCTTAGTTTACTCTAGCTTCTCCAGGTGAAAACAAGGAGCTCCAAGGTTTCATTTGACCAAGGTCAAATCTGATCCCCTGCTCTGTGTCTCAACAAACTTCACCCGTGAAGAAGAAACTAATCTAGGTAGAACACACCTTGCCACTTCAAGCCTATGCCTTAACATTGTTCTTGTTTCAATTGCAAGTGCAGTAGGCTGAAACAGTCTGGCATCTTCCCACCTTGCCTACTGGAACAGTGAGTTGAAACAATTGTGTACCTTCTTGTTTGTTCTAGTGCAAATACAGTGATTTGGGGCAATCCCTATTTGCACCTGGAACTCCTGTTCCCTGGAAAAAGTATGAGACCTCTCCTGCTTGGATCACAAGCCCACTCTGAAGGTTGACAAAGATCACCTGACTAGAATTGTGGCCGAAGTGGAAGAATACTGACCAAAGTCACTCATCTTGTGACTCTATAAACATTGATCCTGAAAAGAGGCCCTTTAGAGCTTTCCAGGTTCTCAGCAGATTGTTACCCTGTGTCTTACAAAGGAAGCTGGTCCATCCAATGAAAAAGAGTGAGTAGTCCACTACTTTTCATTTTGCAGCAAATAGATTGAATTATTGTAATTGATCTTGCAGATGAACTGAAGGAGTATTTCACTGCAACTTCTCTTCATACAGCTCAACAATCATAAGGTACCAAAATTTAACACAGGTTAAACTCTATTTCAGGAGCATGTGTGAGCAACTTTGTTGAGAAACTGTTATATATTTAATTAAACCACTGTATTTGATTAACTGTTGATTATTAAGTATTGCTAGAAAATCATATAATCCAACTTTGTAATTTGTTATAATAGTGTCAGTCAACCTCAATTTGCTGTTATTCGAAATCACACCAGACCCATAACACTGTGTGAAGCACTACACTGAAATCCCTACACTAAAACCCCTTAGTTGTAAACTGTTGACCAAGTCTGTGACTAGGAGTGCATTCAGCTGCACCCACTCTCTGAGGAGTTTAGAAAGTGAGGAGGTCCACACAGAACCTCACGACTCAATGGGAGGGCCATCCTCATTCTCTTCCCTGATCCCTGAGCAAATCACTCCAACATGATCCTGACTCAATCACCCCTATCCCTGTATAAATAATTGCCCCTGATCCCCATTTAAGTCACTCCCATCCAATTCCAACCTCTACACATCCCTTTCAACATAGTAAGTAATAGAGTGAACCTTGCCATTGAATTCTGTTCAGTCACACTTTTCTAAATCTGTATTAAAATCACCTTTTACTAATATCTTTGTCTGTGATCCTTTAAATGACCTTAAGACCTTCCTTCCACTCCCATTCACAATAAATAGTAACACTTGACTGGACATCTTGCCTATCTCCTGTTCCTCTTCATTCTCCTACCACCTGCTGTCTTCTACAGTCCTTTAGAAGTGTCATTTTACAAGACTTTGAAATGTCTCTTCCCTCTTTTTAACCACTACCACCACCTCTGACTTTCCTTGCCAACAACCCTTTTTGTTTATTCAAAGGAGAATTACAATTTCCACACGGGTCAGTAACAGAGTAAAGGAAGTTCCTTTAAGACTTAGGCCAGCTGGAAGTTGTGATGTACACAAATTCTCTACTTGAAGCCAACCAATATTCAAAAAATACTATTTAAATGCAAAAAGTCAGCATCTTGCAGCACTAAGAAGCTACTGCGTCCTGTGCAAGGTAGTCTGCCAACTTTAGTTATTTGGTGCTGGCTCTGCAAAAATGAAAAATATTTGAATATACAAAAAACTGTATTTTGTATTTATTGCACAGTTTGAGGGGTACAGAGACTCTAATCAACCACTCTAACTTCTGTTAAAATTCCAAAAAGCCCACTTCACTGTAAAATTTTTTTGGTTATCCACTTTCCTCTTGTCAACACAATCTTGATATTCTACTGTTAGAAAGAAAAAAAGAAATTTCAGGTAAATTAAGTAAAAATGACACAGATAATGTATTTGGACCATCTTGCTGCATACCACCTTTGAAGAAACCATCTTGAAAACTAAGCAGTACTGTCTCTGTAATTTTGTAAACTGTCTTTGATTTTGCTTTTTCCCCCCAGGCAGACCTCATACAGCAACAGATGCTTTTTAATAACTTACAGTGAACATCGAAGACAACTGGGTCAGACTGTAATGTCTTCTGGCCAGATGGTCCATAATAGGTCACAATGCAAGAAAACTTGGCATTTGCATCTTCCTTCGTTGGCACGTACTGAAGAGATGATGTCATGGTAAAGAGTCCAGTTGATTTGTTCACAAGCTTTTGCAAATTTATGACCACAACTGAAAAGGAAATACTGTTTCAGTGTCACATAGACAGAATTTGCAGCCTTTTTCCTACATATTGTTTCTTGCTCTGTATGTGTTATCAGGCTGCAAACACGCAAGAAACAAGTTACCCAACTATACAAACAGTTTTCCCCTAGTATTGCAACTGATATATACCAGGAACAGTTTGTCAACAACATACTCCTAACATACTGTATATTTTAAATCCAAACATAAAACTTATTGCAAACTGGTGAATTTTTTCAATACAAATCTCAGCCTAATTTGTAAGAGAGAAAGAAGGCCTCAAAAGTGCTGGTGAAAACAATTTTTGGGATCATATTTATAATGTAATTTTGTAAGCATTCTCTATTCTATGGAAGGTAGAATCTTGTGGTCTGATCAGCATGTCAAAATCAAAGTTGAAAAGGAGGGGGGAAAACAAGTTCTTCCTAAATATCCTGGAAGATAAATACCTGTATAAGACGACAATGATCTACATGCTTCAAACCACAACCTTGGTGGTGTGAAATTGAGACAGCTAATAACTTATAAGAAGTTGGGATTAGATACAGGTTTCTACTAGCTACATAGGCTCAAGAATAGCTTTGCAATAGCATTAACAAAGGCAACCCTCCTCCCTATGATGTGGCTTTAAAGCTGTAACTGAAAGAGAAAGATTATATGGTGTAGCTTGGGTGCTCTGAAAGGCCAACAAGTTTCCTTCCAGTTTCATCTTTCCATATGAGTAGTTTTCTCAAAGGAACAACGCATGAGATTAAAGTAGAGCAACTCCTGTAAACATAGTTCTTCGTGCCTGCTCTTCTCTGTGGATTCAGGGACACTGGCCATTACTGAAACATACCATCTTCCACGGGCTGCAAAACTCTCCCATTTTTGTACCACGTAACATTGCCTTCAGGATAACTGTCTCTTGCAACACACTCGCCGAGCTGCAAAACAGATAGGAATTAGTCACTGTCTTTTTCTCTACTATCTTTTAATATAATCCTATTTTCGCTTTTGCTGCTTTGAGTAAACATTTCTAGAAAGTTCAACTGCTTATCCTGGACCTTTTTATTTTTGTTTTTTTAAATAGGACAAATCCCATCAGTGAGGCTTAAGTGCAATTTGGAAGAAGGGTCAGAGGTGGGTCTGAGATCAGCACGATCCCTGCTTGTTTGCAGCACCAGGCAGGGTTAATACAGGACTGGTGAGGGAACTGCTCTGGGCTGAGCATGGCTATAGACCAGCATCTCTTACTGACATGTGTGCACCCCCTCTGAGCCTCAATCTATCACCTCTCATCATCGTGACTGTAAAAGGACTTCAGGCAGCCGTTAGGCACATAACTTTGAGGGAGAAAGCTGCTCTTACCATTTGTAGCTTCTCTGTTTCTAAGAAGTCTGCTTGATGTAAGATTTCTGGTTGTGAGGGTTGTTCTAAAACAAATAGGATAAAGGTACTAGTGAAGGGAGCAACAGCTGTTTGAAAACCAAAATGTTACTACAAGATACATGAACTTCAAAACTAAGTAGAACAATCTGGCCTGGTATAGTCTTACCTATGCTTTGCCATTAAAATAAGATAAAGTTAGATACTTCTACTTCAGTATTAGCAAATGGATTGAAAAGGAAAAACTACCAACTTAAAATTTGTCATACTTTCCATAATGGATTCCACTTATTCTGACAATTTATATTCTAGCCAGGCGAACTCTTTCAGCACCTGGGAGGAAAGAACCTGATCTAATCTATCTGATTTATATGATACACATGCTGAAGAAGGAACCAGTGGTACAGAAACTATAGCAACAGAAGAGCAGCTTTACTGTGGATATTACTGTAGCTAAGCTGTCACATTATAAAGGAACAAATGCAACCTACTGATTCTTCTAATGTTTATTTTTCCTAACTGGGATTGTTACATTTAAGAAATTCAGATGATAGAGATAAGTGTAATTACTTTAACTGATTCTGAGTTAGTTATGACTCCCTTAAAAAAATAAACTTTTATGCCAGTGCCAATATGTCTTCTTATTTACTTTTATTATGGTAGATGGACCTCTTATCTTGCCAAAGTGGAGAATCTATCAGTGTTTCCATCATAAAAAAATACTTTCTAGAGACTATATAACTTGTCTGTTAAAACTGTTTGGCCTGAAGCCCGGAATGCAAATTTTCATCTCCAAAAGAGACAGTTTTCCCCATTATTTTAACAGAAAAGGGGAAGAGTGAGGAGATAAAAAAAAAATATTTGTTTATACAGTAGAAGAAAGCCTCTACACCCTAAGATATACTGCTTAAATAAGCATACATACTACATATGTTGACATACTGAAACATTCTTAACAATGCCAACTTATAGAATGTTTCCCAAATCAAGCTCCCTATAAAATAATGTATGCATGTCAGTAATCTCAGTTCAAAAGGAATTTCACACCATCTTTCACACCAAATGATCCCAACACACTGACAAAGTTACTGATGGGCAGGTGTACTGTTCCTGCTGTCACAAAGCTGGCAAGCCTACATATTTCCACAATAATCCAGTCTCCATGCGTGTGCATGCAAGTGTGCATGTGTATTTGTGTGTACAAAAATGCAGAGATATCCTTTGACTGGGAGACTATGCAAGGATGGAACAAGAACAGCTCAAAAAGGAAATGAAAGACAATAAAAGAAGCTATTCATTTAACATTTTCAAACAAGTTTGTTTGTGACAAAACCAAAAAACAAACAAAAGAGACAGTCAAAGCTATACACTAAAATCACCAGAATTTCTTCAAAGGGCTAATAAAGATTTTTTAATTTAAATATATGTGCATGTTTATTTCTCTATTATGAGGTTTAAAGGAAAAGAGTTCACCTATTTTCTGTGAAAGCCTGTCAAGGACAAAACATTTCAGGAAAATGAGGTTTTAAAAGACCATTAACAGGCTTTCTGGTTCAGATTTTTGAGTCCTATGAACAGGCATGGTTGGCTGCCTGTCACAGTCACCAGCTGACCAAACCACAACCCTCTTCTCAGCTTTGCTTCCTTTCATCTCTCATCTCCTCCAAGACTGGCTTGAGAAGACCTCCTCTGTGCTTCCCCCCCCCCGCCACAATGCTCCTACCAAGGAAAGGACCCTTTCCTCTGTGGCTGTGCCTGTTTAGAGTGCTCTGGTGACAAAACAGAAGCTCCGGTTGAGATGCCACCACCTGCTCTCTCAGAGCAGCCTCTGCAAGGGAATTTCTGCTGCCAGATCCTCACAGCTGCCTGTGCACCAAGGTAATTCACTATAAAAGTCTTATTTGGCATTCACTAGCTCAGCGTCTGAAGCGAGAAGAAATTTTAAACTTGGCAGCAGCAGTGCCCACTTTGGTGAGTTTGCAACTTCAGCACACTGCTTATCTCTCAGCTTAAGAGCTTGCCAGGGTACTTAGCAACTCTATATAGGCCCTGTAATAGGGAGGAAGAGATCTCACTGCCTGCAAAAGCCAAGCGTTGGTGTAGCAGGACAGCAGTTCATGTCTGCTGGGCTGCTTTGCTTTGGAAACTGGCCATTTAATTCCAGAAAGAAGATGTTGACAGGATCCATCTGGAAAGCTGGTAGAGCTTGTTTGAGAAGTCCAGTCAGTGCAACCAGCAGGTGGTACCTGTGCAATGAGCCACTTCAGCTCGTTAGTTCTGAGTTAATCAGTTAGTACAGCAGAGGACGTGACAAGCTCCAGTGAAACCCAGCATCAGTCATGACTTCTAGGATACAGCTGAGTTTCAGGTACACAAGATTTTTGGTTTACAGGGGTTTGCACTGCTGCAACCTATCTCTGTATCTGAGATTCAACAAGTTAGAAAGTCCACTGGTTAAATAAATGAAGCTTGCAGGCTACTCTTCCCTTTCCTCATTTGAACAAGCAAGCAAGCAATAACAAAAAATTAAACCCCAAACCCCAGAGTCAAGGAGTTAAATGCAAAGAAAGGTTAAGAGAATCTTAAGTCAAGTTGTGACTTCAAAATGAAAAACTGCAAAGGTATTTTTTCTTGCAGTGCTAAGTTAGCTACGTTACATGCATGGAATCCTCTATTCTTATCTTCCTTAGTAAACAGAAGCTTTCTCTATTAGTATTAATGTATACAATGAAACATACAATCTGTGCTCCATGGCTGAGTTAGCATTGTGTTAATATTTTGTACAGTACACAGTAATTCCAGCAGTTAGCATTTAGTTTTACCATATACTACTGCCTCATCTACATATTTACTGCTGTGCAATAAGTAAACATAATAATTCTTTACCATTTCCTTTGAAGTGTTGTATTTACTATGCCTGCTCTGAGCACACTCCTCCCTGTTGTCATTAATTCAATTGCTCTTGTAGTCAAATGCAAAGTGAAACAAGATAGAGGAATTATGTTGATTACTAATCAAGCTTCAAACTCATTTATACCACTGAGAAACTTCTGCCTAGACACAAATGAGAACTCCCTAACACCTTCTCCCTGAAAGAAGAGTAAGGGTGCCCCTCCAAAAAAGGATTAATGTTTTTTCAAAGCAGAAGTGTGATCTGTTTGAACCCACCCACCCTTGTGAGCAATGCATTCCTACAACAGGGACTTACTCAGACTGTGTAAATCTTCATCTGAAGAGCAACAAAGGCCAAAAAAAGCCACATAAAACCCTGAAGCTGAGGAAGATACCCACTGCACTCACACGGCAGCATTTACAAACACTAACCTTACCCCCCCAGCAGGCCTTCACCTCTATAAAGCAGTAACAGACAGTCTCCACAAGCTGAGTCAGGGTCTGAGGGATTACATGTCTGCTCTGAATCAGCACAAGGAAGAGGCCAGGTTTGTCCACACTCTTGTGCAAGCTCAGACCAGGACTGTGCCTCAGAGCACGGGATTCACACTGCGGATCAGCTGTGCAATTGGTTTGTAGTGATACCAAACACTAATAAACTTTGCTGTGCTCTAAAGCAGAACTGCTTCCTCCTGAAAGTTCAGGAGGGGAAAAAATAAGCATTTGGGGCTATCAACTCAATTGCCAGCCTCTTCCTTGCTCATTCACAGTTCATACCATTGCACACTAGCTGCTCAGAGCTGATTCAAACCTCTCCGCTGATCTCACCCTGCAGACCGCACACAGTTAACACTTCCCTCCTGCAGAAAAATTCTCTCAGAGAACAAATGGAAAATAACCAGTGCTAATATTACATTTTTGATTTCCAAGGCCAAATGACATCACACAAGTGAGTCATTATCAAAGCCTAAAATTCTCTTTGAGCCAGCACTTATCACGAATAAACTGCAAGTGCAGGCAGTCCTGTTACGTAAATGCCACCAGTAGATTACATTCTTGAAAGCTCCAGAAATTTGCTAGTCTTTGTAATTTACACAGCCAGAGTTACTTTCCTAGCTTTAATCTTTCCCTTAAACAAAAGTTTTCATAATTCACAATTCAAATCTTGATGAATGTTAACAGTAGTAGCAACCAGATTACTTACTGAAGACTTTGACTATTGTTGGCTCTTCGGAAACATCATCTTCTGTAACTAGCATGCATACAAATCTCTTTTCATCACTGATTCTTGCATTCTTGATGGTTAATGTATAGTTTTCTGAGAGACTCAACCTGTCTTTGTAGTCTGGTACATCATCATACTGTACATTTTTTTTTGTTGATGATCTGAAGGCAATAAATACCGGAGAACCATTTGGCATTTCCTGTAATAAAAGGAAAAACACCTCTATTTTGCATAAACACTCATTAGGAGTTCCTGAAGATCTGCAATTGGTACAAACCTGTAATTAAAAAACCTGAAATCTGCATCAGATAGCATTTTTCCTGATTAACTTCTGCTGTACAAACAAGAAACTCAGTGTAACACAAGAGCTGGTTTAAGACTGCCATGGTACACATCGAGAATCATGGCACTAGAAATAATTTCGATCCTTTGGCTCAATCTCAGCATAGCATAGGGCTTTCTCTGATGAAGGCTGGTGGTTCTGGCACCACCTGCCTCTGTCTGTATGAAAGTGTGTTTGAAATAGAAGCACTCATGAGCTAGGCTCAAAAGCTTCAGTTTCCGTTTTTTCATGATGGTTTTACATATTCATATTGTTTGTCTGGGATAGTCAGACTTCATTCCAAATGCAGGATTTAATCAGGCACAACTGCCTATTTTATTCCAAATTAGTTTTTAGCTTTTTTTCCCCCCTCTGTTTTTAAAGGACTCAAGAACTTGTGGTATGGCAATATACATACAATCAAATATTGTTATTTATGCATCTCAAGATAATTTGCAAAATATAATTTTCTAGACGCCCTCCTTATATCAATCAGTATGCAGCTGCCATCCTAAGAAGGAACACAAAATTGTCAGCCTTGCACAAACCTACCATATCAAAAATTTATTTTTCTGAGAGACAAAGTTACACGCTGAGTTCTGCACGATTTAATTTTCCTCCCTCCTACACACACACACACAGAGCAGGGACACTCTCTGCCTTTAAATACAGTGAGGTGAAAGGCTGACTCTATCTTTACTTTCAGCATTGTGCTGGGGGCTGAGGTTTTCACTCCCTTTCATCCCTTGCACCACTGATGCAAGCAGTGTTCCCAGCACAATACCTCAGCTTGACTGCAGAGGCCACAAAAGCATGACAATGCTGTGACAAGAGATGAGTAGTGTCAGAGCCAGGCAGGGAGCAGGAGACAACAGCTAACATTAAGTTTAAACTCCCTTAGAGTCCTTCTACCTCTCCCACTCTTGGATTACTCTAGATGTCTGCCACACAGGAAAGCAAGCTTTGCCTTGACTCAATACATGCAAAGCTGGCTGTTAAGTGCAAATGGGCTCTTAAGTCCATAAGCCTACCCAGGGCATGGGCACGTGCAGGTAGAAACCAAAAGGAGCAACACCTGCTCCTGTCATGGTGCATGTCTCCCAGTGCCCCCAAGCTCCCACCAGCAACCTGAATTGCTGCTCACAAGGCACCAGCACAGAAAACGGAGTTCCTTCTTCTTTCAATGAAATAATCACCCAATCAAAAAAACCCTAAACTAACCCTCCCCCTACTGCAAACAAGGAAGCTGCCCTAGGAGAATAGGTATCAGTGTGGGTTGTGTCAAGAATTTTGTACAACGGCAATCGGAAGGACTTCTCTACACCTTAGGTTTCATGTCCCTTTCTGTTTAGAAGAAACTATAACATCTCTGTTTGCTGCTTAGTACTTGTCTGCGATGAACAAGCAAAGCACTGGAAAGAGACAATACATTTCCTTTTCTATCAAAAAAGCCTTGCATCATCATACAGATCAACTTCTTCCCAAGAAAAGTCAGCAGAATTGTGGTTCCTTGTCTCTAGCTTGCCAAGAATGTCGTGGTTTGGGCCCAACATGATAACAAAGGAACAGCCCCATGGCCACTCAACTCCCCTTCCCTTTCCTCCCCCCCCGCTCCTTCCTCCTCAGGAAGAAGGATTCCTTACAGTCCTGCCCTGCTTCCCCACGGGGTCCCTCCCATGGGAGAGAGTCCTCCATGAACCTCTCCTTCATGAGTCCTTCCCACGAGGTCCGGAGCTGCTCCAGCCTGGGCTTCCCACACAGGCCCCGGAGGCTTTGGGAACAAACTCCTCTGGTGCCGGGGTCTTCCACAGCTGCACAACCGGAGTCCACAGGCAGCAAATCCTCTGGCCACAACATCCAAGTCCACTGGCCAAGTTCACCCCTCCTGGCACCTTCAGGGAATGTTCCCCCACGTTCCTCCATGAGTGCAGGGGCACAGCTGCCATCTCGCCATGGGCTGCAGGGAAACTTCTGCTTGGGCACTTTCTTCCCCTTCTTCCTCACCAACCACCAGCACCGCTCTCCTCCAGCACAGCTCCTCTCCCTTCTCTGCTTGCTCTACTCAGATGTTATCTCAGTTCTTTCATATGTTAATCGCTGAGGTGCATTTATTGTCTCTCTAATGGCTCCTTGGCTGGGTCTGGAGGTAGGGGAGCTCTCAGCTTCTTTCCAGAGCCACCCATGGGGCTCCCTCCTCCACTACCAAAAAACCCACCAAATCAAACCAGAACGAGAATAAAAACCACATTGCAAAATGCAGGTTCAGCATCTTCTGAATGCTTATACGGAACAGTTTCACTGTCTCTTTTTAGGGGAATGTCCTCCACAGACTTCTGACCTCATTACCCAAAACATGTTTGTGGAGCAGGAACTCTTGAGTGGATGAAGTCTGCAAAAGCTGCAAACTTCCAGGTGCAAGGGAAGGAGCCAGAGAGGATGATGAAACATGCCCAGTGGCAGACCAGTCTGCCATAAAATAGAAAGGAAGATGCCACTTAAAAAGTGGGAGACGCGTGTAATTTTAAATCCACTGTCAGAGTAGAACATCACCTTTTATTGCTGGTTACATTCTGGTTTGAGTACAAGAGGAGATTTCTACAAATTTTATAGAGGCAGGAAAACCAGTTGTCCTGATGCCAGTCTGGGAAGCAAAAGGGTTTTCAGGATCCTGGTGTTTTCTTCCACATATGCCTCCAGATTTCATGACTTGTATGTGCTTGTTCTCTGTTTGGCCCTGGATACTGATCACATGTAGAAAAAGAACATCCTGCAGCATTCTTACTGCAGGCTGTTCAAAACAACCTGGAAGAGCATTCCTCTTTTTGCCTCTCTTCTCCGTGCAATGGAAATGGCAGAATGAAACCACCCACAACTCCATTGAAGTCAAGTATACTCTCTTCTTTGCTGTGCATCAAACACACTGAAGCACGAAACAGTATTGAGTGACTCTCAGACCACCCAGAGCCAAGGACAGCACCTTCTCAGGGCTGAAGGACACCCTGCTTCAGCCAACCCACTTGAGAAGTATTCCAATTTAGAAAGATGGCTCTGTCTAGCAAGTGAGACACCACTGGGTAAACATGCCAGATCTCTAATACAAGTTGGCAGAGAACTCCCAAAGGATTATTTCTCTTGAACAATGAAATTAATTCCTCAAACCTCTAATCTATCCTTGGCAGAAATTATGCAGATTGGAATTTTGCAGTCTTTCAAGCACAAGAATGAATGTCTTTGCACCTGAGGCAGAAATCTTATCAATTGGAGTCTTGTACTCTCATACATAAGACATACACACCTTCTTATACCAGCTCTAATATATGTAAAGGTAAGTTATACTTACATATTTCCATTTTCCAAACATAAGACCATCTGGAACTTCTAGACGACAAGGCATAGTGATAGTATCTCCATATACTGCATTTACTGTGTACAATCCCAGAGCTAGAGGAGAAACAGAAAGAGAGGAAACAATTTGAAGCATTTTTTCTGATACAGTGGGAGCCAAGTGGATTTTCAAACAGGATTACACCTGCTCAACTGGATGAACATGTACACTATGATCAGTATCCACAGCTTTTGTCCCAAACTTAAAACTTCAAAAGGAAAATCCCTAAACCTTTATTTTCTCTTTCTGAAAAACTGGCCATTCTGCCTGGAGGGGTTATGTTGCAATGCAATATTGTGAGAAGGCCTGCAGACAAGTGATATTCTGACTGCTGCACTACATGAAAAACTCAGAAAAGAAAAAGAGAGTCCTATTTAAATGCTGGTTTCCCTTAAGCCTCGGAAACAAACTAGTCTGCACATTCAAATTTTGGAAAAATGAAGTGAAATAGTTCTATGAATTATTTAATAATAGCTTTTTCTGAAAACCCCAGCACAATGTTGTTGTGCTAATGCATAGAGATTTATAAAATAAAACCGATCCACTTATTTTCACTGTCCAAAATATGTCAATTGAACAAAACCAACAGACCCTAAAAAGATGAAAGGGGAAGATGTAACATCAGAGGTTGGTACATTTGCTGTAATGCAACTTTGCTTTGCTCCTATTTTATGTAGTTATCCCTGCTCTCTGTGATGCTTGCTGCTCCTCACACTGCAGGGAGGTTTTGAGTGTGCTGGCTGCCCACACATCTGCAGTGCTTGTCAAGGTGTTCCTCCCAGAGACTAAAGAAGTTCCCCTTTTGCAAGCGAAGTTCCTCCATTTGCAACTGGAGCTGCAAAATCAAGGGCTTGCTGCCAAAGATATATTATTTAAGAGAAAGCGGTAGAATGCTGGTGACATAGTCAGGGCCACAGAAACACTCAGTCCTCCTAGAGACATTAATTTTCCTGGAGATTCTTGCTAGAGCTGCAAAAGCAAACCTGTTCCTATGCACTCCAAAGACCTGAGCCACAGACCCTATATCTTTTCCCAAGGCAGCCACTGGGATGACCTGACAATTCTATTGAGTGCATATATGCACTCTATAGGGAGGTTTTCCCAAGGGATTTTTTTTCTGTAAACAAAATGTCTTTTGGAAGAGCCAAACACCAAGTTTCTTGCCTACAATACAAATAAGACAGACTCCAGAGCATCTCCTTAAGTGAGGACTTCAGAGCTCACTATTAGCACCAGCATGTATTTATCTTTTGTATCACAGTGTCAACCAGGCTGTGACTCACGCTGTGTCATACTGCACAAAGAAACAGGGCTCCAAAATACTTCCTTAGACAAACTTACAGGTGGATGGCACTGCATGGTAAGGCAGAGAAGGAGGCTGGAGTTCAATGAACTAAAGGAACAGAGGAGATAACAGGCATCACTTTTCACACCTACCTTAAACTTTCTTCACACTTCTCCTTTACAACTGAACAACTACTAATCTTCTGATTCTGTTTTATAGTTAGTCACCAAAGTACTTTAAGTAACATCATTCACACTATAAGGACTGCATGCTCTAGTTGGCTGTATGGTTTACAAAGACCAGCTGTTTTTTAACTGACAATAGCAGTTGGTCCACTAGATGGTGCTGAACAAGTGCAATCTCTGAAAATTAATCAATTATTTTTTTTAAGAAATCAGCTAATGTCAATTTAATGGAAATAGGACTGATGTTTTAGGAAATCAAACCATAAATGGAAGTAAAATTAAAAGCTGAAACAAATTTTTCCCTTGGCCTTCTCTTGCACTCATTTTGATCTCTGGGAGGGGGACAACACAACTTCAGCTTTGCAAGTTGAATCCCAATTTTCATTCCTGCGGAAGCTAGAAAAACAGTCCTTTTCGGTTCCTCTCTCACAAGGGTGCAAAATTACAAAATACTTGCAAATATATTAGCAAGCTGATTAGCACCCCTTTAAATTCCAATCATTTAGCAATTTGAAATTCTGTAACGGTTATTTTGCATCCCATGGAAAGACCTGAAACTGCTCCTACTGCTAGGAGATATTCCCTGTCATTAGAGGAAAACAAAATGACCCTGTGGGATCTATAATGTCTCTCCTAGATGCTCCTTTAACCCCTGTAAGTTGCTAAGGTAACAGGTATACACTACCAAAGACCTAACAACCAGCCTCACCAGTGAGAATGCAACTGTTTCTGGAAAGGATTTACATTTATTGCATTCCAAGCAGGCGATTGATGCGTGGCCTGACAAAGAGAAAACCTGGCCCCTGATTTCAGAAGAACCCTTTCATCTGATAGGCATTCCTTAAGAGGGACACCCTCCCACCCCAATAATAATGTCTTGCTATAAATTATGCCTAAACTAAAATAATACATTTTTCCAGAATTTTTTAAAAGACAGAACCAGAAAGACACAGGTTTTACTTTACATACAGATAAATGGTCCTTACAAGAATTAAAGAGGTCCTACTGTAAAATTCTCCTCCCATTTGGGTAGCAACAAATCTAGGTTATTTAAGCAGTACAAACTAGTTGAATGATTGCAAACTTTCAGTGCAGGAACTGCAGTCATGTCCACAAAATAACTCTGCAAACCTATATATTTAAGAAACAAGCAGACAAAAAACCACCTCAACAAATTTGGAAATTCCTCTCTCTGTTGTTATTAGATATATGTGTAAAATGGTAGGTTGAAGAAGAAAATAGAAAATGATTGCTTAGTGGTATGAGAGTGCTTACCATCAACTGCTATTTTCTGAGAGCCCTTTACTTAGTTTCCAGTGCATTCTAAGAAAATGAACTCAGGATCTACAAATACGTAACAAATTGCTCCATTGCTCCCACAACACAGGGTCAATGTCAAGACCCTTGTATCTCATTAACTGCAGGAGTGTGAAATGGAAATGTAGTAAACAACACTACAAGAAATCACTGGACATCATGCCCTGCCTTGCTGTATTTCTGATGCACCTTTCCATAACTAATTAAGAGCTCAGCCAGCTCTCCTCTGCACAATGTTGCTTTCTAAAACTGAGACACTGCTGTTAATAAGATTAATTCAGAAGCAGGATCTCAACCCACATACATACATAAGGAAAAGCTCTACTTGAAGTTGCTATGAGTTACACTCATATACCACGTTAATCAAGCTCACTTTCCTTCCACATCTTTACATACAGGTTTGAGTAGGCTGAGGTTTAATACATTTCCCCCTCTTTGATCTAATGCTGAAGAAACTCTGAGGCAGATTACCTTTCCACATAGGTTTAGACATGGGAAGAAAGCAGCAGCATCAGGAGGTATGACAACTCAAAGAAAGATCCCAGCAGGACACTGCTAAATTGAGATGGCATTTGCTTTTGATGCCTTTAATTACAGTGCTTTCCATGTCCTCATTGCAGTCCTAACTGGCATGCTTCTTTGTCCTCCTTTCTGTCTGTGTTTCACAAGGGAAAAAACAATCAGTACCCACGTATTTGTGGGACAAAACAAAAAATGTGGCTATTTGATCAGAGGCTTAAAGGCAGAGGAGGTGCTGCTGTTATTTTATATCCTCACCTAGAGTATACAATGCAGGTCACAATTTAGACCAATTATTATTTTTAAAACAATGGGATCATATAAGAGGAATGGATAGAAGGTATCTAGAAATCAGAAAGCTGATGTTTCTCCAAGGAAATAACAAAAGCTGTAGGAAGCATGGTGAAAGCAGCCATGTTTTCCACCTCTACCTTCCATTTGAAATATCAATTATTTTTCTTGCTGCAAACACCCTTTTTTAAGTGCCTTACTTTTGTAACAAATGTAAAACAGAACAAGGGCTGTTCAAACACCCTTTAAAATGGAAGATCCACGAGAGACTATGAACCTGTATCTGTAAACTATGACTAGCAGAGGAACTGCCTGAAACTTCACCAGCCTACTCCACTGCCTCACAGCACAGCTTATTTCCACTTACTAAAGCAATGGAAAACCAGGTGGCTGTATGTCCCTCCATACCCTGGAGTCGACTGATTTAAAAGATGTTTTCATCTACGAACATGTCTGGTATTTTCCTTCTCATCTATTTTTTTACTGCTGATGATTCTGCCCCAGCAGGTTCAGCAATGATGCCTTCTTTTAATTTTTCTGGAGCCAAGGAGCAAGGTCTCATTACCAGAGAACAGCAGGACACACTGGCTGCTGGTTCTTTGCAGCAATCATCAGTAGCGAGCAGCAGAGGTCAATTAGCAGCTTCTGGAATGGAAGTGTCCAAACTTAAGAGCTATTATGTAAATTTAGCACCCACTTTGGAAATCTTAGTTAACTACCTTGGAAACTCTAAGTTAGGATTAGCAGTTGAGGTTTTGGTCTTCCCATTTTATCTCCAGGTAGCCCAGATTATTTTGTACTTAATATGTTGTGGGAGGTTAAAAAGCTTTGCCTCGTGAAATAAATATTTTATTAAGCAGCTTGCTATTAGCACGAAAGTAGCAATTAGCAGACTTTTCTTTTTGCCTTCCACTTCCTAAAGGGATTTGGGGTATACAGGCATACACATAGAGCCTCCTTAACATCCACTTAGGTAGCAGCCTAAATGGTTGGTACCAGCCTAAATTATTTCCTTTATGAAACATCAGTATTTCATAAAAAAACAATAATTCCATGTTCTTAGGATCAAGAAGCCACCTTTTAGAATCACAGAAGCATTTAGATTGGAAAAGACTCTTAGAATAATTGAGTCTAATAGTAAACCTAACACTGCCAAGTCCACCATTAAATCATGTCCCTAAGTACCACATTTACATGTCTTTTTAATACCTCCAGGGATGGTGATTCAACCACTTCCCTGGGCAGCAGTGCTTGATAACTCTTTTGGTGAAGAAGTTTTTTCTAATATCTAACGTAAACCTCCCCTTGCACAACTGAAGGCCACTTCCTGACACCCGCCTTTCTACAACTTCCTTTCAGGTATTTTTAGAGAGCAAAAAGGTGTCCCCTGAGCCTCTCCTCTCCAGCCTAAACAACTTCAGTTTCCTCAGCTGCTCCTCAGAATACTTGTGCTCTAGACC